AGCACAGACCCGGATGCGGGGCTCGAACCCACGGACCGCGAGATCATGACCTGCGCTGAAGTCGGACGCTCAACCGACTGAGCCACCCAGGCACCCCTCCAGTACATTCTTTAAGAAAAAAACAATAAACTATATTTTCATCAGCAATGCATTTACAGTGTCAACGCTGTGTGACATTGCAGAGGGAAATTTTACAGTGGCATGCGGATTAAACAAACACACAGACCTTCTCCTAAATTCTTTGGGAATTTGTGACCTGGTGCAGGGAGTCGGAAGGTAGCACACAACCGCGGCCCCAGCCGCAGGTGCTCCTGGACTGAGATCTTCATACTGCCCTGAAGAGGGACTCTTCACATGCCCTGTTTTTTCCCGTATTCTACCCAAGGAAATAACTCGCTTTTGTATCATTTTTCTTTTTAAATATATAAATGGGGGTGTGTGCTAGAACATTAGGAGGTCCGGTGGTGAGGTGTCAGCGGGCTGTCTCCAGAGGTTTAATCCTCAATCAGGCGATCCCTGGTCTTTACCTGTGCAGCTCCAAGCCCGCATTTGAGAAAAGGCTCCCTTCATTTAAGGAATATGTGACCTCAGGTGGAGAGAGAGGGAGAGAAACATCCTTTCCGGCCAGGCCCCCCATCCGCAAACCCAAGCCAGAAAGTCCTGCCTTCCCTGCCTGCCGTGACTACCCCCGCCCCCCAATCTCCTCCTTGTGCACCTGTCATTCCCACTGTCTTCCTGCAGAGGGCGCTGTTTCTCAGGGTCATAGATGCCATGGGCTGGAGGGGCTGTTCCCACTGTCCTTCTCAGCATACAGCCCCTGAGGGCTCCTGTAGGGCTCCCTGAGTCCTTCTGGGGGAAGCTGATGGTGTCGCTGATCTTTGTTTCTGCTTCAGATGAACTAAAAAACAAAACCGTGTGTGAAAACCAAGAGCTGAAGCTGCACTGTCACCCATCGAAGTTTCTCAACATCTACTCTGCGAGCTACGGCAGGAGGACCCAGGAGCCAGACATCTGCTTCTCAGAAGCAGAGCGGCTCCCCCCTTTTGGTACGTGTGTGTGGTTTTTTTTAAGTTTATTTATTTATTTTGAGGTGGGGAGGGGCAGAGAAAGAGAGAGAGAGAGAGAGAATCCCAAGCAGGCTCACAGCTGCCAGCACAGAGCCCAGTGGAGGGCTCAAACCCATGAACCATGAGATCATGACCTGAGCCCAAACCAAGAGTCTGACGCTTAACCGATGAGCCACCCAGGCGCCCCTGGTATGTGTTACTATGTGGCTATCGTTAGGGTGCTGAGTGGATTAGGGCCCTGACTTCCCCAAGGAAGGAAGCCTGGCAGGGGCTGGTCCCTGGATTAGAGGGAAAGTCGAGGGCAGGGAGGAACCGCCCACGTGGTCCCACCTCCTTCTGACCCACATTCCCAAATCTGTCCGTTGTGTAGTTGCTTCACACCGAGTAGGTACTGAGCGCCAACTGTATGCAGGGCCCCGTTCTAGGTGTGGGGGAGTCATCGGTGACCAACACAGGGTTCACGTGGCACTGACCTTCCAGCAGTGGACCAAGAGGTAATGAGAGAACGAACGATGTGTGTTGTATTTCAGGTGCACACAAGTGCGGAGGGGAAGGGCACATTCGGCGGGCGGGGGGTGGGGGTGGACAGGGAAGGCTGGGGTGTACCACAGAGAGGCATGGTCTCACAGGGTCGTGCTGAGCAGAGACTTGAAGGAGGAGAGGGAGTGAACCTGGGGAGCCGTCAGAGTCACCTGAGGTTATGATTAGTCCGTGCTCTCCAGAACTAACGGGACATATAGACCTGTATCTGGAAGGAGAGATTGATTTTAAGGAATCGGCTCGCACAGTGGTGGAATATGGTCAGTCTGACACCTGCAGGGCAGGTCGGCAGTCTGGGAACTCAGATAAGAGTTGGTGTTCAATCTTGAGTCTGAATTTTGCAGGACGGCAGGCTGGAAACGGGCAGATTTTCTATGCTGCAGCCCGGAGGAAAAGCAGGCCTTCAACTGATTGGTTGAGGCCCACCCACATGAGGAAGAGTGATCTGCTTTACACAAAATCTACTAAGTTCAATGTCAGCCCTATCTTAAAAGTGTCTTCACAGCAGTCTACCCCGGTGTTTGACCAAACAGCAGGGCACCATGGCCTAGTCAAGTTGAGACACAGAATTAACCCTCACGCATGCCAGTCTGTGGTGGGGAAGAGGCCTGATCTTTACCCACCGTGTTACCAGAGAGAACGGGCCCTACTGGGAGTTGCACTTTATTCATCAAAAGTAAAATGAGCTCTGAAATGTATTAAATCGCTACAATTTATTCGTGGATCACATGTGAAATGAAACGTTAATTTTATTTTTTTTTTTTTTTAATTTTTTTTTTTTTCAACGTTTATTTATTTTTGGGACAGAGAGAGACAGAGCATGAACGGGGGAGGGGCAGAGAGAGAGGGAGACACAGAATCGGAAGCAGGCTCCAGGCTCGGAGCCATCAGCCCAGAGCCTGACGCGGGGCTCGAACTCCCGGACCGCGAGATCGTGACCTGGCTGAAGTCGGACGCTTAACCGACTGCGCCACCCAGGCGCCCCGAAACGTTAATTTTAAAAAGAAATTCATACCAAACCAATTATCTTGGATCTGAAAAGAGCGTGATGTGACTCCAGTGCGCAGGCAAGTTCTCGGGCAAAACGAGAAGAGAGAGCAAAGAAGCCGTTCAGGAGGGACACGGGCCACCAAAGCCCCCCAGCCCGGTGTTCTGGGAAGGAAGGCCCTTCTGTTGAGGACGGCAGAGGGTCTTTTGAAGGGGCAGAGCTGGCATCTAGCTGCTCTTGACCAGGTCTGGGGGAGGGGACTCCCGTTTAACAGGCTTGGCTGCCAAGTGGGACAGAGAGGTCTTTGTGAGGGTGGCTTCCCCTCGTATGTCACTGCACGCCCCTCAGCCCACCCCACACCCCAGTGAGCGACCTGTGAGTTCCTGACACTCCAGCGTCCCTCTCGTATAACACCCGCATGCGTTCAGAACGTCTCCAGCCCCTCTGCCCTGGCCCCCGCTACTGTGTCAGGTCTGGGCGCTGGTCATTGTGCCATCTCCCTACTCCCAGCCTGCTTTTCTGCCCAGATGGCCAGAGGCATCCTTCCCAAAGGCCAGTCTGATGGCTGTTCTTCTGAACATCCTGAAATGATCCGGTCTCCTTGGCTGGATACGGGAGCCTTGGTGATCTGACCTACTTCTGCACCAAAGGGACCCTCATCCTTCTTCATCAAGTAATGAGCCAAAGAAAATGTTAGCAGACATCATGGCTAAAAGACAGGTTTCCATAGAGACGTCGAGGCATCCTCAGGTCAACCAGCTGTCCTAATGCCATGAATAACCCTTGTTGATACAGGAAAGGTCCGTGAATGCACGACCGGGCCCCTCACTTAGCGGTTCAGTTTGAGAAGGTTTGAGCCCTGGCAAAGTCACACATGCAAAAGCCACGGGCTCATCCTTCCCCTGTGCCCTCCCACCCCTCACGGGCAAGGGCTTCTGTCCCTTGCCCGTTGACTACACGTGAGGTTGAAGATCAAACTGCCTCACTCGTGAACTACTGCCAAGCCCCGGAGACCGTCTGGGCCTGTGCTCTGCGGTGGGAAGAGGCTCCCAGGGGACACAAAAGGCCCTATGAGGGCTCACATGGAAACCTGGACTATTCCCTCCCATCAGGTCAGCGCTAAAGGGCAGACCCCGGCTGCCCGTGCCGATGTGTTTTCTCCCTTTAGCTGAACGCTGAGAAGCTGTTCACTTCTTGGCCCAGGAAAGCCACACGGGAGGATTATAAACTGCACTTGGCATGATCCCCCCTCCACCAGACCATCCATTTATCCTCTTGTGTAAACGCCTTGATATCACCCACTTTTTTTTTTTTTAAGTTTATTTATTTATTTTGAGAGGGAGGAGGGAGAACGCGCCCAAGTGGAGGAGGGGCGGAGAGAGAAAATCCCAAGCAGGCTCAGCACCGTCAGCACAGAGCCTGACTCGGGGCTCAAACTCACGAACCGTGAGATCATGACCTGAGCCGAAGTCAGACGCTTAACCAACCGAGCCGCCCAGGCCCGCCCGATATCACCCACTTTCGAAAGCACACCTTTTGACACCCTGCCTCCCACTGACTCTGTCCGCACGTCCTCGGCTCTCCTGCACTGAGGGTCTCTCATCCGGCCACTTTGCTCCCTGCTTCTGGGCATCTCTCGCCTGGACCATCCGGACCACCTCCTGACTGGTGTCTCGGCCCCCTCTCCTCCCTGATTCCCTCCCCTCCCTTGGCCCTTTCTTCACTTAGCAGCCGGAGAGATATCATTAAAATAAATCAGATCACCATACCCTCCCACCCCTTAAAGCCCAGCGCTTTGTCCACTGTAATTAGAATAAATCCATTCTCCCAGCTGTGGGGAGAATGGATGAATGAACGAATGAACTGTGGGCCATTCGGCACACTCATTCATAGGCTGGGGCCTGTGCACAAGCTCTTCCTTTGGCCTGGAACGTTCTCACCCCACATCTTTGTGTAGCTGGCCCCGTCTCATCCTTCAGGGATCAAGTCAAATGTCCTTCTGAGACAGGTCTCCTGGGGCTCCCCACCAGCATGGCCTCTTGTCTGCGCGGTCCGTGTTTGTCTTCATAATGTGGGAACCATCGCATACAGGTCTATGGCCTGTTTCCCTGGGGAAGGGAAGCACCGTAGAGATGGTGTCTGTCTGCTTCCTGCAGGATTCCCAGCAGCTAGAGCAGTGCCTGGCACGGAGCAGGTGCCCAGGTGACTCTTGGCATGCATGAATGAATCCGAGCCTGTCCTAAGTGAGGCGCCCACCCGGAGCTCCCGCAGGTTCATGGTTGCCGGCCCAGAAGGTGGGTCTAGTGTCGTCACGGCTTCCAAACCCTCATGAGTTGCTGGAAATATGGCCTTTTTTTTTTTTTTTTTTTTTTTTGTAATGTGAAATGTTCCAACTTTTCAAACAGTGATTCAGCCAAAGAAAACATGCCTACAGGCCACATCCGGTCCACAGGCTGCCAGCGGGATCTGTGTTCTAAGTTCCCAGTTAGTACTTGGAGCTCAGCAACATGGCTTTGAAGAAGGGGAAAGGGCCGTTTCTTCTCAACCCCGGGGCCTGGCGTGAGCTCTGCAGGATGACAGGTCTAGGGCCGGGTGGTCAGGCCTGCCTGCGGCCTCTGGAAGGTGATGTGCGCACCTTTCCTCTTGTAGGAACCCCGTAAGCTCCGGCCTCGGGGCCTCCCCGGGAGCATGCGCGGTGGAGGCCAGCCGGACCTCAGTGACGTCAGGAAACGCAGCTGATGTGGCACTTAAATACCGAGGGAGGGCATTTCCAGGTCCTTCTGGAAGATGATTGCTACGATCATTGTTACTTTCTTGCACCAGTGCCATAAGTTACATTTAACAGAAATAAGAAAATGGTTCGGGGGCGCCTGGGTGGCTCAGTGGGTTGAGCGCCCGACTGTTGATTTCGGCTCAGGTCTTGAGCTCACAGCTGTGAGATCGAGCCCTACGTGGGGCTCCACACTAGGTGTGTGGAACCTGCTTAAGATTCTCTCTCTCCCTCGGTCCCTTTCCCCAGCTCACACACTCCCTCTCTCTCCCTCTCTCTCCCTCTGTCTGAGAGAGGGAGGGAGAGGGAGAGAGAAATAAGAAAACAGTTCAGCCACAGATGTTACCCATCAAATGAGCAGCTTTTTCCTTTGCAGGGTCTCTTCCAAGTCCTGGTGTGGGAGCACAGAACAGTTTTTACGTATTGGCGATTCTAGAACAGACGCATTTGATTCTGCTCTGAAATTTCACTTCACATCATGGGTGTTCTTCCGTGCGGCCACCAAAATCCTAACAATGCCAGTCCTTTCCTCATATCTTCTAAAAGGGATACAGATCATTGATTAACCATTCCCTAGGGGCTGGCTTATTTTACTGCTTCTGATTTTCGAATATTGTGAGTGATGTATAACAACCTTGGGCTTGTAGCTTTCTCTTTCCTCTGGATTGTTTCCTTGGGATG